AAAAGAAAAAACAAATGAAAAAAAAAAAAAAAGAAAGAAAAGGAAAAAAAATGGGGGGAAAGTCCAAAATTGCGTCGAGGTTATAATCCACCCCTGACCTAGGGTTTTGTATCAAAGCTGAAGCTCCACCACATCTTGCTGATCGATTTCATAACCAGAAAAAGATTGCTCCAATTATAATGAAAAGCGTAGGAAAGAGTAAGAATTAGATCGCCCTTCCTTCACAGGAGACAGGTCCGCATTCCCCAACAGATCCAGGACCTGGCCTTGCCTGCAGGGACACCGAGTGCTCCGAGCTGGTTGGTTCATTTGCAGCTGATTATGCCCTGGAACGTACGATCAAAGCTTGACTTTCCACCAAGGCTGAGTTTTATAAGGTCATTTCCCCCTTACTATTTGGAAAAAGGAATTCAAACTTTTAGAAATAATGATAGTCCAGAAATTCATTTTAGGAGTGGGTAAGAGAGGGAGGGGAAACAAAACAGTCATTAAAGAAAAACAATAACTTGGCATGCATAATACTTCATATAATATCACGTTACAGGTTCGCTTGCATAATCAGACATACAGCTCCCCAGTCTGTTCCCATCTGATTATTTTTCTTTGCTTCCTTTTTAATTGCCAGTGAATTATTAATCGATTACACAAACCGATCCCGTAAGAGATGGACAAGTCGAGGTGCACTTTCCTCAACCTCTTCAGGAGACCAAAAAAAAGTGGCAAATCCACTTGTAAAATACAGTATGTAGAATTACATATATACGTGTATATATAAAACCGTGTATTTTAGCCGATAATTTGCCAGGGAAATAAAACGAAAACAAAGAAACCAAATCCTCACAGCTCGGATTTCAGCAGGGCGAATTCTTTCCAACACTTTGCCTTCCAGTTGTTTCAAATCAAAACTTCTGCATCGTGAAGGACCGGGGGCCACCAGCACATGCTTGGGTGTCGGTAGTATGGAAATGAGAGTAACGATGGGAGGGGATATGTACGGATTAAGTGGCTAAAACAAAGGGCCCTGGAGAAGCTGCTGGAGGCCGGGATCAGCAGGGTTCCCCGCTCTGCACGGCAAGCTGCTGGGGCCGCGGGGAGGCTGAAAGGTTTCCCCGGTAGGAGCGCCGGCCCGGGCCCCAGATGTCCCGGGGAAGGTCTCTCGGCCGCGGCGGGGCCCGGGGCTCGGCCGCCCGCGGGGTGGGGGCGGCCGGGAGGCGCCGGCGGTTCCGTACATTCGTGTCACGCCCGGCAGCTCTGCGGGATGCAGCAGGAAGGGTCGGGGGAGTCTGTAAGTCCCCCGGAAAACTCCGGTCTGCGTCAGCCCGGGACCGGGGCGGCGGTGAGGGGTTTGCCGCTGCCACGGGGCTGGATTTTCTTTGGATGCGCGGCGGTGGGAGCCCCGCCGACCTGATCCCTGTGCATGGCTGGGGTTTTTCAAGTCCTTTCGGCTCCCTCCGGGCTGCCGCACGTCGCTCCGAGTTAACCCCAAGAGTAAGTTTATTGCACGTTAAAAAAAAAAAAAAAAAAAAAAAAAAAAAAAAAAAAAAAAAAAAAAAAAAAAAAGGCAGAAAAATCAAGAAACGTGTAAATTGAAAATAAAAAGTCCGTGGAGGAAGGGGTGTGGAGCTGGAAGCCGAGGGAGGAGGCGAGGGGCCCGCGGTCCCGGCAGAGGTGGACGCTCAGACGAGTCCTGTCATCTGCGACCGTAGGAAAGGGAGGGAGGCGGCGGGGAAGGTGCCCAGGGGGTAGCTGACGCCGCTGGAGAAGCCCACCAAGGGGGGCGACATGTGCGGCAGGGTGAAGCCCAAGGCGCTCGCCGGCGAGTTCTCGTGGTACAAAATGGGGACCCGCACTATCCTTTGGGCGGCGTGGGAGAGGTTGGCCGCTTCCAGGTCTGCGGCCAGCTGCCGCTTCCACTTGTTGCGGCGGTTCTGGAACCAGATCTTCACCTGGGTCTCGGTGAGGTGCAGCGAGGCGGCCAGCCCGGCCCGCTCGGAGCTGCTCAGGTAGCGCTTCACGTCGAAGGTGGACTCTAGCTGGAACACCTGGCTGCGGCTGAACACCGTGCGCGTCTTCTTCTTGCGGCCGGCGGCGCGCTGCTCCGGCTCTCCCGGCTCCTCGCCGCGCTCCTCCTCCTCCTCGCGGCCGCCCGGCCCCGGCCGCCCGCCCGCCGGGCCTCTGGCCGCCGCCCGCCCGCCGCCGCCCGCCCGCTCCGCCGGCTCCTCGGGCGGCTCGGGCGAGTCCCGGTCGCTGGCTGCAAAGAGAGGCAGAGGCTGCTGCAGGGATCGGGGAGCAGGGGCAGCGCGCTGCCCGCCCGCCCCGCTCGCCGGGAGGGGAAACCAGCGCGGCTGCGGGGACAGCAAGGCCGGGCAGCGAGGGGCTCCGGCAAAGGCTCCTGCCGCTTCTCTGCCCCCTGCCATAAACTCCCTAATATTTCTGAGTTATAGGCACACGTGCACGCATGCTTGTATGGAAACACAAGCACTGTATTTTATATCTATAAATATTCTGGTCTATGGACACGCTCGTGGATCTGCGTATGCGTGCGCACTCCTGTGTATGCACATAATACACACACGGGCTGTTTTCAAGCCATAAAACGCACGCGTGTGTGTATACACACACGTGGATATGCACAGAAGTGCGTGTGTAATTTTTATGAATGTATGCACACGCAGGAATACGCGTGACCTCTTATTTATATGCACATGTCTGTATTTACACACGTATACATACTTAAAAGTACATTTGTAAGTATACTATGTAAGAGGGGTAAGCATAATATTGCATCCGTGTGTTTATAGAGAGGGACCAAAAAGAAATAATTCACATTATTCTGGACTACAAAAAGGTAATGGATGGGGACAACTATTCCAGTATCGAGACATACCTCCATGCAGTCTCCAACACTGTGCATTCCAATTACAATTTGAAAGGGGAAAAAATATTTCCTACTCTCTATAAAATAGAGGGAAAAAAGAAATTAAAAAAAAAAGAAGAAAGAAAGAAAGAAAAAAAGTGGGGGGGAAGCGCAGTTGTTTCTGGAGTACTTTGCTGTCTCTATATGTACTTCTGAGAGAAATTAAAAATATTAATAAGTCCATGAATGTAAAAAGAAACTATTTGGATTACTAATCACTCCTCTTTTCCTTATTGAGCAATTATGAGATTTCTGCAGGCTCAGAGAGGGTCACAGAGATGGGCCAAGGCACAATGTTTTTTCTATCAGGAAATAGAAAATAACCACTAATGGCAGCCTGTTCACTCTATCCTATGTTAATTTCTACCCCGAACCCCAGCTTCTGCTCCAACACCCTCTCCTTTGGGATCCCTGCGGCGAGAGGCCGCGGTGCGAGAGGAGGCCAGCGGGGCTGGCTCTGCAGGAAGGGTCGGATGGGGCAGCCGGGACTGAGCCCAGCTGCTCCCCCGGCTTCCCAAAGTCTCCATTGCGCAGCTGGGGGACGATGCTCCCAGCTTTCCGGCTTGATGAGGAGTCAAAAAAAAAAAAAAGGAAAAAAGAAAAAAAGAAAAATAAAAAAAGCCAGACCTGCCTCCTAAAAAGAAATGTAAAAAAAAATAAAAGGAGAGAAAAAATAGAGAAAGAAAAAAGATGGGGGAGGGAAAGGGAAAGAAAAAAATCCCCAAGCAAGCCAAGAATCCCTGTTTACACTTTGGGCGGCGGGGCGGAGGCTCCAGGTGCCTGACACATAGGGAGCATTTCCGGAGATTTGCCCCGAGCGGTCGAAAGCGGGGAGGCAGGGCGGGGGGCACTCCGTGCATCCCCCTCCGGCCCGCTCCGGGGGCCGCGGCGGGACCCGGACCCCCCCACCCCGGGGGGAGCAGGAACACCCCCAGCCCCGGCCGGGCCCGGCGGTGAAGGGTGGGGAAAGGCGACTTACTGTCGGGGCTGGCGCAGCCCAGGAAGGCGGCGTGCGCCCGGCGGTACCAGCCGACGGCGGCGTCGCGGAGCGGGCAGCCCGGGGCGCCGATGCGCAGCGGGGAGCGCGGCCCGCAGCGCGGAGCCCCGCGCCCGCCGCCCGCCGCCGCCGCCCGCCGCGCCCCGCCGCCCGCCGTGCCCTCGGTGCCCAGCAGGTCCTCGATGAAGAAGGACGAGACGCGGGCGGAGGTGGAGCCGGCGTTTTCCGTGGCTTCGTCCGGCATGGTCGGAGAGAACTGCGGGAGGGGATCCCGGCTCCGCCGGCGGCTGGCTCCTCGGCTCCCCGCTGCCCCGCGGCCGCTTCTCGCCTCTGCCTAGCCCCGTGGATGCTCTCTTGGTATAAAAGCGTTTTTTTCCGGAGTAATCATTTCAGATCGCGGTTTGCCATCATTTCCTGCAAGCTAGGAGGGGAGGGGGGAGGTGGAGGAGGGGAAGGGAACGGGGAAGGAAAAAAAAAAAAAGGCAGCCCGACAACCCATCGGAGGCGCCAGATTCTGCGCGAAAACGCTAATAACGAAATAAAAATGTCATGCGAGTTAAACGGCGGGCAGGAGCGGGGGATCCTGCGGTGGGCGGAGCGCCGCGCCGAATGGGATCTGCGCGGGGAAAGCGGCGGGCGGCGGGCGCTGCCGGGCGTCTGCGTGTGTCCGCGTGTGTGTCTGTGTGTCCGTGCGCGTCTGTGTGTCCCCGTGTCCGTCCGTGTGTCTGCGTGTCCGTGTGTGTGCGCGCCGCCCCGGGGCCGCCGTTCCCGAGCTCCTTATTTAGGTCAATTAGGGAGCAAATCCCGGCGCGGGGGGGCGGCGGCGGCGGCCCCGGCACACGGGCCGCGGCCGGGGGGGCTTGGCCGCTCCACTTCCCGGGCCTTCCATTGGCTGCAGCGGGCTCAGCGGGCAGCCCCGGCAGCCAATCGGCGCCGCGGACATCGCGCTTATATTAATATCATTAATATTATTAATAATAATCACCCCCCGCCCACCCCCTGCCGAGCGCTTTCATGTGGCGGCGGCGGCGATGGACGGAGGAGATGCGCCCTCCGCCGCCCGGAGAGCCGGCTCCGGCCCCGCGGGGGCTGTCGGCGGAGCGGTGAGGTTGTCCTCAGCACGGAGCCCCCGGCTTGAGGCGTTTGACTCGGTTTTGGGAGAGTGGCGGAAGGGCGACTGCTCCCGTGAGCAGGCAGCGGGTGTCCTGCCGGAGGGGATGGTGTCTGCTTGGGAAGGGGAGAGGACTCTCCTCTAAGGGGTCTCCAGGTCCGTTTTGCTTATCTTATATATGTGTATATACCTGTACAGATATATTTTATGGGTGTCCATGCGGTGTCTGTGTAGTTTATTTAGAAAGACGCCCAGCCCCGCTCATCGGCGAAGAGGCTGTCCGGGACTCCCTGTCCCCTCCCGCCCTAGGCGGGGAGGCACAGGCGATGCGCTGCGCCCTCCAGGACCCGGCCCGTGCTTCCTGGCGTTACCTCTCTTCAGCCCGGCTTTTTTAATCATTATCTTACTGTAACACCATTTCGTGGGAAGCTCTTAAAGTCGTCCTCCCCCTACCGCTTTTTTCCCAGCCTCTGGAGCTAGCCCTGGGACATGGACCCCGGCAAGCCCACCAAAGTGCGGGGCGCCGGAGCAGGAGGGTGACGCTCCGCCTTTCCCTTGGGACCAGGCGAGCCAGATTAGGAGAGGGGCAGCTCGGTCCAGGGCGCACGTCGGAGACCCGTGGAGGTTTGGGTGAGTACAGAGGTTCCTCCGCGATACGCATCTGCTGCTCTGCTCAGCCTCTCCTCCTCTGCTCTTTTCTGCCGGAGGATCCCTCCCTGGTCCCCTTTGCGGTGCTCCTGGACAAGTGCCCCTTCCCCAGCCCCGCCTCCCCTCCCGCTGCGGAACGGGGGCACCGGTTCCTGCCCAGCGGGAGCGCCCGGTGGGGCGGCGGCGCAGCCGGGAGCCGAGCCGGCCTCCTCGCCACGGAGCGGTCTCGCTCCCTTTCCCGGAGAGACAGTGGGGACCTTTGAGGTCAGGGCCCATTTTTTGAAAGAATACCTTAATAAAAAAATAATAAAAAAAATAAAAGTCATAAAAAATAATTAAGGTAAGGGAATAATTCCCCTTCCAACGGCTCCAGAAAGAAAGATGCCAACGCCCTGAGCTGTGAATTGGACTCTGGAAAAGTGGGAATTCTCTCTTACTTGGGCAGAGACCGAAGGCAGTCTAGTGAATTGTAAGCCGAGCGACAGAGCATTTGTCACTTGTTGCACAGAAGTGACGTTAATAAAGATGACTTCTATGCTTTGCATATTTCGCTTGCTCCTGCGTAGGAAATACGGGTTTGGCCGAAAGTTCTTATGCATTCATAAACCGTCAGCTCTATTTGACTGCCAGACTCAGAAAATGTGTGCTTTCCGGAATACAGAAAAAAACATGTGGCCAGTGATTGCTTCTATACATCACATATGCAGTCTGCATAACTATAAAGGATATGCTTGTGTCCTATATCCATATTTGATAAAGTGTTTCTACAGTGTGATGATGGATCTTCTGTAATATTGTTTGTTTTCCGCTTATAAATAGTTTAATAAAATTAAACTTAAATTTGCTCATGCTTTCCCCACTCCAACCCCCTCCATATTTCTTTAGTATAAGGTATAACTGTTGGGTGTGCAATAATGCTGAACTGTGCTTGTGAAAATCGTGTATACTCAGATGTATTCCTGAAACACAAAATCAGGATGAGTATAATTCTATACCTGAAAATGCAACACTCGTACATACATGTCCGTGTTTACTGGGGATATTTTTAAACTCATAGTTATGTTTACACACTTTTCGCATTGCGATAGTGACGTGGCTAACATTTCAGGCTTCCTGTCCTTACTGCTTGATATGATGATGAGAATAAAAGGGGTGTGTGTCTCCTGCAGCCATCCATCAGGGCAGGGAGCAGAAAAAGCACGCAATGTCGGTATTCTCTTAATTTAACGTTAGAAAGGCATCCTTGGCCGCTGCCCTTACGCCTTTCGGAGTCGCCTGCCCGGAGGCAGCGGGGGCGGAGGGGTCCCCTTGTGCCGAGGGCTTTGCCATCACCCGGGCAGGGGCCGCGCCGCAGCTCCCGGGCCGCCTCCGCCGGCCTTCTGCGGGGCCGCGGCGAAGCGAAACCTCTCCTTCCCCCACTGCCTTCTCTTCCTCGGCCATCGCTGTGTGGCACCGTAAACCTTTATTTTTTGCAGGCGGGAGAATGGAAAGACTTAGCCTGGACAGGTCTAATGCCTGATGCCTTCGGTGGGTCAGGAGGGAGAAAGAACCACGTGTTTTCTACAGAGTTGACTTTGAGACCGGGTTTAGACTAGGGGTGGTGAGGCCTCATTTTTTTCCATCCTTGGCTCTGGTTCTTTCCCAGGTACGTGTTTTTATCCGAGGCGTCGGAGACACCCAGGGCCAGCGCAGCCCCGAGAGGTGGCGGGCTGTGTCCCCGGCCCCGCTGCCAGCGGGGTCTCTTCGGCTGAGCACTCCTGGCTCCCAGTCCGTGCCCACCGCTGGCCTGGGATGCCCGCCGGCCGCACGGCGCGGGATGCCCGTGGGGTATCCCCGTCACCATCTCCGGCGGCTCCTGAGCTCGACTGCGGCTGCCACGCAGAGGGCAGACAGAAGTGGGGATTTGGGGCCGGGGTCGGTGGGGAATTAGCCGACGGAGGGCTATATTTGGGGCCGAAAACGCGTGTGTGAGTGTGACAAGAGCCTCCAGCCAGTCACGGTGCCGCCGCTGCCCGGCCGCGTCCCGCACGGAGCGGATCGGCTTCCGCAATGTGAATGCAATCACCCTGCCGGTGTTTGATGTCCCCCCTCGCTCTCCCTTCGCTGCCTCGCTGTGTCGAAAAATAGAAGCGAAATGAAAGGCAGGCTTTATCGCTCGCACTCCTAACCTCTGCTCCTCTTTGCTTTCAAGGGCCGCGATTTTTGGAGCCCGGGTCTTTGCGGGGCACTGTTGACCCCCAGCGCTGCGGGCAGAGGTGGCTTTGGGCAGGGGCATCTTGCTCCCTTTTCCGCGTCAAAAAAAAAGCGGTGCTGAACAGATCGCTCAGTTCTTGACACCTTCCCAAGAGATCAGACGGCATCGCTGGGGGTAAGGGAATTTTTGTCCAATATCTGCCTCGGGTTGATCTATCTATCTATCTATCTATCTATCTATCTATCTATCTATCTATCTATCTATCTATCTATAATATATTATACATATTTATAAGTTATAACTATACACATAAACCCGCGTGTATGTATATATATATATATATATATACACACGTGTGTGTGTGTACTTAAAAATAGTGTTTCAGCCATGTTCTGTTCAGGTGTTTAGGAATAAAAAGAAAACAAATAAAAGCTGTATTAGCATCTTCAATAACTAGTCGTAAGCCACCAAAACGCAAAAACTGTTCCTAGAAAGCACTGTTGCTTTTTTGTGTCCAAAACTCCTTCAGAAGAGCAGAGAAGGTGGGATGGTTGGGCTAGCTACTAAGAAGCAGTAATAAAACAAGAGAACAACAAGTAACAAACGAACAAACAACCCCCATAAAATAAAAATCATCCAGAAGATGATTAAGCCCCCCCTAAATCTCTGTGTAACAACTTCATCTCCTGCTCCTTTTTTTTGGAGAGGCGGGGGCCCGCTCACCTTCCAGGGAGCCACCCAAACTCTCCCTCTCGGTTATCTCTCGTCCCTCTAGAATTTGCCAGGTCTCTGCACAGGCTCTGCCACCCTCAAAAAGCGGCAGGTGCGGAGCAGGACCCAGGAGTGGTGGGTTATGTCCCGCTGAGGCTCTCAGGGACAAGGAAAGGGGACTTTTCGGAGGGGTGCCCCTGCTATCCCCCACGCCTGGATGGAGGTCCCATGCTCATCTCACCTTTTTTTGGGTGGCCTCTGCGGCAGGGAACACGAAAAGGACAAGGACACGGCAGTGGGAAACTTTTACTTGAAGGTAGAAAACCCCAAAGCCCCTCAAATGTGGGTTAAATAGCATTTGAGTGCAGCAACACTTTGTGGATTCCCTCCCGAACTTGCAGTAAAATTTAATGGGTCCCTGAAGATGGGAAAACAGAGCAAATTATTTTTCTTTCCAGTGTATTATCTTTATAAACCCAGTCCAGCTGAATGCTTCACCATCAGTGAGACTGGAAGAGAACTTTTCCCCTCTCAAGGGCGCTGCCCAAGCCATGCTGCATCCCATGAATGTGTTCATTATTCACAGATAGTCACTAAGTGCTTTGGATGGAAACTTGCAGCCTGTGGCACGTCCTGACTGCCCGTGA